GTACCCTGACTATAAGTACCGTCCCAGACGTCGACATCGACCCCTTGAGAAGCAAAAGAAAGCTGTGGCCGCAATGGCTGCAGCCACGGTGAGCGGACTCTTTTCAGCATCTGAAATTGGCAGTCAGTTTTCCTCCGTCCACCCTTTTATGGACCAGCATAAGTTGAAGACATCGGACAGCTTCCTGGCCTTCGCCAAAGACATTCATCGTCATCCACTCTTACCTCCGACCGATTACGGCTTTCAACGTCCCTTTACCTCAGCACCAGGTTCAACCTACCTGTATGGTCTCAGTATGGCTAATCAGAATAACTTGACGCCCGGTTCCTCCACGCCCACTGGGTTTGGATCCATGTTCCAAGGTCCCTATCTCGACGGGCACGTTGGCAGCGGCAACGGATACGGAGCAGAAAATAATTTTCCATTCTATCACCCGTCGGAGCGAAACCGCCATAGGAATTCGGTCACGGGGATCTATGGATTTGCAGGAGACTCGCCTCTAAACGAAGGGCAGACACTCGATCTTCCTTCTTCCTGTCGTTCAACAGGGAATGCTTCCGAGTCAGCTTTGAATTTCATTCATCCACCGATCAACATTCCGACAGCCACCTGTGGTCTCGATTCTTGCACACTAACCGGGAAATCCTCAGGTTGCAATCCAACACACTTACTACCAACTGGCTTTACAGCAAATCAGATGACAATAAACACCGAGAAAATATCCTCCTTCAGCGGCACCTGGATCGATGGTTGCCCATATCAGTATCCTCTAGCCCCAGACCTTTACGGTAATGCGACAGACCAGCCAGAATTTGAGACTAAACTAACCAGCAAGACTGGCATATCCAATTCAGCCGGTCATGATGAGGGCACTCCTGCTAGCTCTCGACTGCGCGTGCCTGAGTCTAATCATGAGCAGCCGCAGTCACAGTCACAGACGTTCTTTGATTCCCGATCCTCCTGGGGCAGTGATCTCAGTCTCTCCAGACTGCCACCGAGCGAGTCCGCAAGCAGCAGGGAGGCTTCTTCCAGCCTGGCGACCGTTGATTCGAAAACAGCCATGATGGCTGCTGTGGCAGCGGCGAACTATGCTGCCTCTCGTCTAGCCTACTGCAGCAGGGACGAGCCCGCCCTGGATAGCACGGGCTGCTGTGACGGTCGGTGGATGACCAGAAGGGAAGGAGGCCTGGAGACACACAGGCCATGGAAAAATGCTCTTCATGAGGCGGTACCTGCCAATGAAGTCCGTCAGACTCCAGAACCAACCTGTTCCCTAATGAACTCTGCTTTAGTTGATGAGAGTACGAGAACTGCAACACGCGATGGTGGTCGCAGCACTGGGTCTTACCAGAGCGGTTCGCCCCTGTCCACCTCAGCAGCCTACCTTTCGGCCTACTTCAGCGGATTCACTAACATGATGGGTCTGCGAGCGACCGACTGCTCAACCACCTGTTGTCCTAATCTACCCTCCATATCTGCCTGTCCGTACCCCTCGGGACAGGCTGAAAACCTGACCACGCTCCCTCGCAGTTGGAACAGTGAGCATGCCTTGAGGGATGCAGAAAGGCGCTCGGACTTTTCGAGCGCATCTTCAGACTCCTCCGTGCATGGTGGGGCCAGTGAGCCGAGTTTTTACGTCAACAGACACCTCGGCAACTGTTCCGATGGGGAGGACGCAGAAGACCCGGAGGAGTCACTGGTTGACCAAACAGCGTCTCCGCGGAAACCAGTTTATCCGGCCTTCTCAAAGACTCATGGCCAGATTTTGCTGTCGCCAACAGCGTATCGATCCTCCTCTCCACCATCGACAGCTTCTCCACCTTCCTCATCGAAAGCTGGATGAAGCTCCGTCACCTTAACGCGGTTCTCCCGACCGAAGAAGACACGAACACTATCTACCACTGCCCATCCCACTGTTTACTTCAGGAAGCTACATTTTGGGCCTAACAGCGTATGGGGATGAGGCCGGGTAGCCTGCTACAATTTTCTCCTGCGTCTTTCGAATGTTTTGTGCTGAATATGGAGAACTTTTTGGAGTCTTCCGAAGACCAACGCAGCTGCTTTTCTCTGTACATTATATATGCCCATCATCCTCCTCTAGTTTTCGTCACACCCAAAATCCCTGTAAAAAGGAGCCATGACACGGTTTGCCAATTTTATTTTAGCTGCTGCTTTCCTCTGCTAATAAAACTTTTCAATAGTAGTGCTTTTACCTTTCTCGGAGGTACAAATTTTTGCAGTAAGATAAAAAAGCGCCTGAGCAAACATAAACCGATAGCCAGTGATATAAGATTTGACAATATACATCTCATTGCATTTGGGTAGGTTTTACTTTGAAGCACACTAGCAGGAGTTGGTAGCAAGAAACTGCAGTCATTCGTGTCTACGGTGAGAAGAACATGCGGATAGAAGAAGTTGCCTAAAAAAGCAGTTTGCAAAAAGAGGATGCGTTATAACCAAGCCTCGATAGTCCGATAATCTCTAAGGAAACATTCCTGACTGGATGCGCGACTATGAAAGAAAATCTGAATAAAACCGCCTTCTTGCAGAAGCGCTTCTGCCGCATATTCAGTAATGCTCCGAAGACTAGAAACGATTCCCTTGTAGTCCGATGCCGTAAGCTACATTATTTTACCTATACTCTGGACTCCGAACAGGAAGCCCTGTTTACTTAAATGTGATAATAATATTTAAAAGTCTTCGTAGTCTTTCCGAACAGCGTTTGAAGGAATTCAAACCGATGGAAAGTTATTACAGACAGCGGTAGTGGAAAGTGGAGTGGCTTCTGGGATTTTTTAAATTTTGGATCTCCCGGTCTGGGGGTTTTTTACACAATTAATTGTCACTAACATATGACCCGGAAAAGACCGTCGTCTTTCGCAGTCGCTAACATTTCTCAGCTGTTGTCCGACATCTGCTGTGCAGCTGCCCGCAATAACTTGTGACAGGAGTTCCAGTGTATAACAGAGCACACGCCTTCTGTTCTTCAAACTAACTAAATAATTGCAGTTCGCTCCCAGATCATGTAGAGTTCTAGTGAAAGCCTAACACGAGTAAGCTTCTTATAATATCCCATGAACTGCATTTAGAGAGTCTGAATTAGTGCGACCGAAAACTACTAACGGTGAATGCTGTCCCCCGCTCTTTCAAACGACTATACAGCGACATATCTAGGTGGGACGGGTGTACGAGTTAAGGATGCTACCTTGTTTTGAATGTTTAATTCGAGGAGTTTCCGTGTGAATCGCTGACTAAACACCCATGGGGTTTTTGAAACACTGTCAAATTTTTTACCTAACAGATTATATGCAACTATCTGAGATTACGGTTGGCTGAGGCAAGACTTTATTTAGCGCTTGCCATTTATCGTTAACAAGTCAACCAGGCTATTTCCGTCATGGTAAATTGCAAATTTTATTTCACTTGAAAGGAGTGCAATTTAAAAACCTGCCGCCATTTCGGACAAAACAGCCTTCGGGATGAACACCCAAAAGAGGGTATTTAGTTTTCGCAAAGGCTGCTCCTGAAAAAACTTCACGTCATTATTTTGCACACAATTTATGAACGGTTTCTTATGCGTCCTTTTTAAATGTTTAGAAATCCAACATTGATGCTAGACAGCGTTTAAGTTTTGCAAATGCGAATTTCGTCAGAGTATTTTTTTGTGCGCCATTCATCTGCCCGGGGTAAAGTACAACAATAAACTCAAGCTTCGAATGACGCGGGTTCACTAAAACAGAATATGTAAATGCCTAATTGGAAACCTTACAACTAACAAAAAATTTTAAAATGCTGGTGGTAACTAATCGGTCAATACTCCATTATCAATCCTTCTTATGGCGCCGACGTACACATGGAAACGCAATCTTAATTTTAAACTGTGCGAGAGCATATCTGGATATCTAGTAAAGGTACTCGAAACATGCATTTTCTTAGATTTCAAGAAAATGGCCACGAAGTTTTACTGGAAAATTCGAGGTTGCAGACGCTCTGGATCATAAATGGTCTTTTTCGAGAGGTGCACACAGATGGCATGTTGCCCCAAGATATTTGAACTGAACCTATGCACTAAAGGCAAACATGATGATCAGGCAGTCATGCCATCAGCCCCAGTTGTTTGGCTCGTCTTGAAGTTGATGCTTTAAAATCCCATGTTTCTGGCTTTCGATTTCAGAGTCATCAGTCCTATAGTTGCATAGTGTGACTAAACACCGAATACCTTAATCACAAAAAAACGTCTACGAGTTTACTACCTATCTGTGAATGCATGTCACACTCAAGTTTTTTCCATCAAATTAACTTCGAATAGAGACTTACGTCGAAACACGCCGGACACTTAGTACTTTAGCCACTCAAAGGAAGTCATACATGTCATTTGAGCTATCTAGGGTGGAGGGGCCTGCTTAAGGGAGCATTTTACTAACTGAAGACTTAACTGCTTTTGCTGAAGCATTTTACAAGACATCTTGTTCCTTATTCTTCCTTCTGTGAATTACTATGTCAGTATTGTTGTTGCTGTTGTTGTAGTTGTTGTTGCTGCTGCTGCCACCACCACCACCACCACCACCACCACCACCACCACCACCATTATCATCATCATTACCAAGAAAAAACATCGTCCTTATTGTCGCAGCCATCATCATTGCCATGCATTTAATCTCCCTACCTCACCTCCCCAAGTGTTCCTCTGTTGTAAACGGTCAATGAGACGTACTCGGCAATACAGCGAGTCAGGTATACATTCATGAGCTTTTAGTAAATTTAATGGGGAACATTGTTCGCATGGTGGGTCTAAAGCAAAACCCGGCGGAACAGTACGGCAAAACCAGAAGTTCGTCTTATCGTTAAAACTATATTTTACATGATGGCAATTTAGGTAGACATTCTTCAGACACGAGTAGACAGATAATAAACACAGGTTATCATCTGATTTATCCGTGCACCTTTAAAGAAGTTTAAGAGCTGCCAAATTTCTTTGAAGTTGGGGCATACTAAATGATCCCGGCTAGATCCATATTCGTTAATTTTACATAGAGGAGCACCGTCTGTGGTTTTGGAGTCTTCCAGCGCCGACTGACCTCTTTTTCCGGTACTGAGTTGCTGCGGTTCTTCGAACTCATCTCCTCCGGAAGCTGGCGACAGCAGCAATTCTTCGTCCTTCTTGTTGTCGCCGTCTTCATCAACGGTGCGCATGACCGCTCCCGAGCGCTCATCTCCACAGATCGGAAATCCGTCATCTGCCACCACCACAGTCACCACCATCACCACCACCACCACCGCCACCAACGCTACGCCTCCTCCCCTCATCTTTGCTGGCTTCTGGGGTTGTGTGCACCTTTGAACACACAGGCGCACATTCACGCACGCGCTATGGGGAACAGGGCGAGCGGGTGAGCAGGTCGAACTAGGACGGACAGGATGACTGACAAGAAACGATGCCGCGGACGTCCTCGGGGCAGTCAGTCGCTTTAACCCAAAGCCTATCCTTACGGGGGGAGGGAAGGTGGGTGCTGACAAGATTTTGTTGTGAATCCAAACATGGCTGTTCCTTTAAAGGGGTCACCTTTTAGGCCTTTTAACTGAATAAAGGAATATATTCGACCTAATTATGAAAAACTCAGCGGCCCCGGTGGGATTTGAGCACACGACAACAAAATTGGGATTAGAGTACAACCAACGTTCTAACTACCAAAACTACCAGGTCCCGACCGGGAGCCACGAGTTTAATAAAATATCCGGATAACGTTACTTGTTCATCAATTCTGAAACAGTAAGCTAGCTGTCTAAGCAGAATTTCCTAGGCAATCAATTTAAAATTCGCCAGATGACTATCAGGCTTACTTAATAAATTGATGGTTTTGGTCGATTTGAATAATCCATTTGACCCAATTGTGAGAAACTCGAAGACCTCGGTGGGATTCGAAGCCAGAAAAGCAAGGGCAAGCCTTGTGTGCAGCCAATGTTCTAGCCACCTGAGGTATCTTTTGTCATCTGAAGCTAAATGGGCGTCATGCCTTTCGATACAAGATTACGAATATCTTATAAAATCGAAAAAAACAGTAAACCTTGATAGCACTATTTCTAAAAATTGCGCTCTTCAATGGGTGACATTACCTTTTGAAATGCGACTTGAAACAACTGAGGCTCTGTCTGAAATTTTCTTCTGAAGTGGAGGGTGTCGAATACGCCACTGGCTCGAATTTGAGGAGTAACTGCCACTGCAATTAAAATGAATATCCAGTGCTTTCTACAGAGTAATCACCGAAGCGATCGCTGTCACTGCTTTATTAGGTCCGGCAATTATGAACGTCTATAAGGGTTAAAATGAAAGGAGAATTCGATCGACTGCACTGTGAAGTAGCAGATCTAAGATTGTCGCGCGTACTGACTAGGGGATTTGAGGTAGCTTAACCCAACATTCCGTCTTAAACCTCATATAAACTCCTAATTGCAACGCTTTTAGCGAAAATAACTCTAACGTCCAATTTAAGCACAGTCAGGGATTGGATCCGCACGTGCTCATTTGCAGATGTTTTTTGGTATGTTAGTGTTCTTGGGCAGAAAACTGGTCTTCTCGCTGCCATCTGAAGCGACACTTCCAACCAGAACGCATGAGTCATAGCCTTGCGATCATCTGAAACGGGTTTTAAGGCGTGGTTGGTCTAGTAATGGTTAACTGAATTGGTTTGGTAGAGTGCAACTTTAATGCAATACCTGAACTTGAAGGTGGTTGTCTGCATCCCAGTCTGAAACACATAAATTTAAAATTCCAGGATTGTACCGGGCATCGGGGAACCCTACTGATCGGAGGACTACAGTTGACATGTAGCATAGCTACGGCTT